AAGTAATTTTAGAAAAAAAAAGAAAGATAAGTGGGCCCCACAAGGGAGACTGAATGAATGAAATGAAAAGGTTAAGTGTCTGATTCCAATCATAGCCATTCACTCAGGATTTGATGGTTGTCTCAGCTTCGCTGTTTACTGGGCCCCACTACTCTTCCTTTTAATCCCAGCCGTTGCTCTCATCTCTTCCTTTTTCAACGGCCGACATTTAATCTCTATTATTATTATTATTATTTTTAAGTATTGACTAATTATCATTTTTTTTTTTGTGATAATAGAAAATTGGCAAAATAAATAAATAAATAAATAAATAAAGCTAATATAGGAAAGGGAGGCTTTTTATCGCACTCATGAAAAGAACCAAAAGTAAAGAAGCCAAAGACGTGATACCCAAAGGGAAGAGGGTAAAGGCAAAAAGTGAAAAAGTTAGTAAAAGAAAAAAGAAAGTGACTTTAACCATGGTTAAAAACCCAATCCATTCATCCCAACCCTAGTTAAAAAAAATTAAAAATTTCATTCTAATCCTTACATTTTCCCTTATTTGACTTTAACCCCTCGTTATTTATCCCAAGTCCTCGCTATAACAATTTTAAAAATATCATTTCAGTCCTTATACTTTCCGTTATTTAAAATTAATCACTATATAGCTATTAGTTAAGTTCATTGCTGGTGCATATTGTCCTCTTCTGCTTTCTATTATGGGTTTTCTCTCAAGGTTTTAAAGTGTGTCTGTTAAGGAGAGGTTTTCACACCCGTGTAAATAATATTTCGTTGTCCTCCCTAGTTAACATAGGATCTCACATATCATCTAAACCCTTAGAATCCAAGCTCACTGTTAGTACATATTGTCTCTTTGACTTTCTTTCTGGGTTTTCTCTCTAAGTTTAAAACGCCCTCACATATCGTCTAGATGTATAGAATCCAAGCTCACTGCTAGTAGATATCGTCTCTTTTAACTTTCTCTCTGGGTTTTCTCCCTAAGTTTAAAACGCCCTCACATATCATCTAAACGCATAGAATCCAAGCTCACTGCTAGTAGATCTTGTCTCGTTGACTTTCTTTCACGCCTCTTTGACTTTCCCTTTTGGGTTTTACATCGAGATTTTAAAAAGCATCTATTAGGGACAGATTTTCACACCACTTTAAAGAATATTTCGTTCTCCTCCCCAACCAACCAACCTGGGATCTCACGTATCCTCGAAACCCTTTTAAGTTCTTAATTTATTTCTCTCCCGAGATGGGCTAATTTTATAATTTAGACATTTAAAAGTACCGAAAAATAATTTTTTTTTTTATTGAAAAAAAAAAGTTGGAGGGGCATATTTTGGAGAAGCAAAAGTGATGATTGGGGATAATTGGAGGGCCTTTCCTCTGACACTCTTTCACTTGTTTGCTTTCATTTCATCATTAATTTTAAGAAACAAATTCCCAATTCCCCAATTTCTTCTCTTTCTTTCTTTCTTTTCTATATAATCCTTTCTTCTCCCCTTCTACTTGGACCACACCTCACTCATCCTTCTCCTCCTTCTCTCTCTTCCCCTGTTTCTTCTCTCTCTCTTCAAATTCAAGAAATTTGCAGAGATATGATGGCCGGCAACGACGATGGCCTTGGTTTGAGCCTTGGGTTGAGCTTTGATTCTCATCCCCACCGCCATTTGCAGCTCAATCTCATGCCGTCTTGGACTAATGATGCCTCCTCTGGTTCGAATCTCTTCACCCGAACATACTGAAACAGAGCGAAACAGAGCAGATGTTGTTTTCTTTGGGTTTTTTTTTTTTTTTTTAATTTTGGAATTTGGGTTTTGCAGATCGGACTTCGGAAACTGGGCGATCGCTGCTCCGGGGTATTGATGTGAACCGGATTCCGCCGTCGACGGCGGATTGTGAGGAGGAAGCGGCGATGTCGAGCCCGAATAGTACGGTGTCGAGTGTGAGTGGGAAACGGAGTGAACGGGAAACGAACGGCGAGGATCTCGACGGCGATAGAGATTGTTTCAGAGGAATTAGCGATGAAGAAGACGGCGAAACTTCTAGAAAAAAGCTTCGGCTTACTAAAGATCAGTCCGCCGTCTTGGAAGATAGCTTCAAAGAACACAACACTCTCAATCCTGTAAGTCTTGTCTCAAACCCGACCCGACCCGACCCGATTCGTTCACGAAATTTTCTCGGGAACCAAACAGAAAATTTATGAGGGTATTTTCGTAATTTTACACAGAAGCAAAAGCTGGCTCTGGCGAAACAGTTAGGTCTCCGCCCAAGACAAGTCGAAGTCTGGTTCCAAAACAGAAGGGCAAGGTGAGGAAATTTCCTTCATTCACAAGGGCATTTTCGTCATAATAACAAATTAAATCTTTTTTCCCTTTGACCTTATTATTTCAAAATTCTATTTTATTTAATTTATGAAAAATAATCCTTAAAATTTTAAAAATTAGAATATAGATTACCTATTGATTCGATATATTTATATATAAATTAAGAAATTAGAAATTTAAATATTTTTTTAATTAATATTTAGACTAAATAAATATAAATAAATGAGAAATTAGATGTTAATATATTTATAATTATTTATAAATACAGGACAAAATTGAAGCAAACGGAGGTTGATTGCGAGTTTCTAAAGAGATGCTGTGAGAATCTGACGGATGAGAATAGGCGGTTGCAAAAAGAAGTACAGGAACTGAGAGCACTGAAACTTTCCCCACAATTCTACATGCACATGACCCCACCCACCACCCTTACCATGTGCCCGTCATGCGAGCGTGTCGCGGTCCCACCCTCCACGTCAGCCCCCACTACAGTGACACGAGTGGGCCAGGCCCAGGCCCACCACGCTCGGCCCATCCACATCAACCCGTGGGCCTCCGCCATCCCGGCCCGGCCCTTCAACGCCCTACACCCTCGCTCGTAAATACCCTCCCCACCGACGAGGGCAATTCCGAGATTTCGCTATCTTAGGATACGGTTGTTGGGCCGGGATTTGGTGGGCCTCCGTGTTTTGTAATGTTCGGCCCATCTTGTCATAATTAGCGTTGAGTAGTTTATTTATTTATCTTAGGGCTAAATACTTTTTTTTTTTTTTGTAATATTTAGGGGGGAAAAAAATGTTTGGAAGGTGATAGAAAAAGGGGTTTGAGTTGTAAAGTGGATAATGAGATGCCTAATTAATTTTTTTTTTCTAAATATAAACTAATCTTAATTTAACTCTTTCTCGGATTTCGTTTTTATAATATTATTATTTTATAATTTTATATCGGGTCGAATCATTAAAAATTATAAACACGTTCAATAATTAAAATTCATAAGGAGACTCGTCATTAAATTAACCATTTTTTTTATTATTGAAGAGTGAAAATTAAGAATATAAATAATTAGACATAAAATGATAAACTAAGACATTGCTTAAAAGGTAAATTTGTGTTGGATCTTCAATGTGCTAAAACTTATATTATATTTGTTATATTTCAATGATGTATTTAAACTTTTTTATTTTATTTTATTTTAAATATATTTTTTGAACTTTGTTTAAATAATAATTGTTTTTGGAATTTTTTTGTCCACAAGTGTTTAGGATCATAATTTTGCTCTTGATTTTAAAGCTTTTTTTTATGCCACCAAAAAAAATAAGAATAATATAATTTTTTTGATTTGAAATATTTTATGCCAATAAATATAATCATTTAATCAGGTAAGAGTGCGAGAATGTTATGTTTCTAAGGGATAAAGGTGTGAAAACCCGTTTTAAAACCGTGAAATTGACAGTAATATATAACAGAAACAAATGGACAATATGTGTTAGTCATAAATTTAGACGTTACAAAATTAATCTCTTTCTAAGGCTTTTTTTTTAATATACTACAAAATTGTTAGAGGGATTTGTAAACTATTTTGATTAAATTACTAGCTAGTTTTTCAATTTCAAATTTACAAATTTAGTTTTTAACTTGTTTTTTATTTTTTAAAATTAAGTTTATAAAAACTAAAAATCAAAGGATTATCAAATGGGTTTAAAATTTATGTAACTACTAATCAAAAAATTTTAAAAATTTAAAATTTGTAATTTTATAAGATATAAAATTAATTTAAAAAAAAAGAGATTTATTACCCTTTGAACATATATGAATAAATTGTAATTAAAATTTTCTTTTTTGAGTTAAATCATGTTTAGAGTACGTTTCAACTTTCTCGTTGAAAATATATATTTTTAAATTACTTTTGTAAAGGTTAATGAAAAAAAAAAAAAAAATCATAATCAAATACCTAGAAATTTGAGAAGCTTTTCTCAATAAATGTCATCATTGAGTATTGGTGGGACAAAACAACCAAAAATTGGGGGATTAGCAGTAGGCTTTGATTGGGTGTACAAAATTTTAAATAAAAAGGGGACACCAAACAAAAACATTGTTAATTTGTGAACAATGCTCCCTATTTTAGGGGATTTTTTAAAAAATAAAAAATAAAAAATTCACTTTTTGACCAAAATAAAAAGAATAAAAAAATAATTAAAAAAAAAGGTTGTTTTGGAGATTAGCTTACTAGCTTTTGTCTTTTTGAAGTGTAAGAAGGAAACATGAAGCAAATATTTCAAGCCCCAATAAAGTGCACATTTCACTATTTAAAAAAAATATTTAAATACTAACCACTATATATATATATATATATACACATATAAAACTAGGATTTATCTAAATATTTAATTGAACTAAAATTAAAGGAGTGATCTAAAAGACACAATCCAGCCCAAGCCCATTAGAATAGATCATGGGCTTTATCTCTATTGGGTTTGGGCCGTTGCAAAGCGTTCACCTATCTTCCTTTGGGCTTAGCCCTTCCAACAATGACTATGGAAAAATATGAACCGCTCATAGTCATCCCTAGCTGATATTGTCCTATTTGAGGTTTCACTTTGCATCCACTGGAGAGAGGTTTCTACGCTCTTATAAGGAATGTTTTGTTCACCTCCAACCGATGTGTGATCACACAATCCACTGCCCAGTGTCTAGCTCTCATACCATTTCTCTATTTGTGCGTGTGATTCTTGCACAGGAGTCATGCTAATCTTCTCTGTATTGTTCTAAATTTATCGGATGTCCCTGACTTTAAAATATTAAAATTCTTATCAACTTAACAATTACTCAACAATGTTGAACATGTACCTTTAACAAAGAAAGGTTTGAGTTCGCCCAATTCGAACATACCCGGACAGGAAACATTTAACAAAAACCCATCTTTGGCAGGTCAAAATGCCAAAAGCACTCTACCAAGTTCCAAATCTAAAATGGGTTATAATTAAACTGCTTGTGCTAAAAGTTCTATATCCAAATATATAGAAAGAAATATTTGATGGAGTGAAACAACCAAGTCTATCTAATTCATACAACTAAAGTTGTTTCAGCTGCAGATCAACAAACACTAATGGGAAGAGGCCTGCTGAAATATAGAATCTTTCATATTTGGAGAAGATGAAGCACTTACCTGGAATTGAACTTGATGATCAAAGAAGAAAATCATGTACTGTCAGTTGAATGATTTGGAGTTCAAATGTTGATGAACTTACTGAAGAAGGGTTAGATGTGTCCTTCAACTTCAAGTTTGCTTTGAAGTGTTTCTACGAATTTGTCCAGTTGATCGTTTGATTGATTCAATCCTTTGAAGCCTGATTTGCTCTCTGAATTTGGCAATGAACTCATCAGCCTTCTTATCTACATCTGGTCCTCCATCATTGCTCAGATTGCTAGAGCTTCCTGCTTCTAATTCATTACTCGAGCTTCTTTCGTTGTCTCTACGGTTCACATTAAAGGGTTCTCCATTGTCTTCCCTAATAAACTTTCCCACCATGTTATTGTCTTCTTCCTTGCTTTCCATGTCGTCGTCGGTCTCCATGCTGAGCTTTTCGACCAGTTCTTTTTTATTGTCATTTGGAAACTCAATGGGGTTTTCTTCAAAAGCTTGGACATGGGCGTTCTGATCTATCATCTTCCCCTTCAACTGATCATATCCACCAAATTCTCTTCCTCTTCTTGGTGGCTCATTCGCAACTTCTCCAGGTCTGATTTTTCTAGTAGATTTCCCCATTGATAAACTATCATCATAATTTCTTGGCAGTGCTTCAGCACTTGAGTTAGTACCCATCACCATATCAATGTCATCTCCTGTAGCACGAATTGAGCTTCTGGGCTTGCTAGTAGTGACGCTTCTCTTCAAATCCTTTTGATGAGGTACATCATTGTCGTTCAACCAAGAGCTTGGTTTCATTGAGGCAATTCTTCGAACATGTGGCGGGGGTGGAGGTGGCGGCGGAGGCGGAGGAGACGGGAAGAAGCTCTTCTTCCTTACCGAACCCTCAGAACTCTTGGCCTTTAATTCTGGCGACACATTGGGCGAAGGAGATGGCTTCCTTGGAGATGGAGAAGGAGAAGGAGAAGGAGAAGGAGGAGATAGCTTAATGGCACTGGCTTGGGAGGACCTTGAAGTTTGAGGCCTAGAAGACCTAGAATCGATCCAATTCGATTCAGATTCCTCCATGGGAACAGCAGGGGAATACATAGGAGGATTATCAGCTTCTTCTTGCACCTCCGTCCTCCCCGATCTCGATCGCCATGGAACCGGGGATGGAAGAGCGACATTTTCATTGAAATTATCCTCAACTCCTCCAAGATTCACTCCCCCAACCTCCCCATTCGAACTCCTCTTCGAATCGCTCAATAATCTTCTCGAACTCACTCTCGACGTAGATCCAGAAACAGTTCTAGACTCATCATCTACAACAACTCGAGACTTCAAGCTACGAACAGGAAGAAGCAGAGGCTTCTCACTCCTAACTCTCTGCTCATTAACAACAGGACTTTCTTCAGAAACAGCCACAGACTCATTCCTAAAATACCTATTACTCCATGTTTGGACCTTATTTCCATCAGACAAAGACATGGATTCATCATTAGCAGATGGAGTTTCAGCCTCATCATCAAAAACAGACGAAACATGAAGCAAACCAGAAACATAAGACTGAACATTATCAAAATTAGAGACACTAATTTCATCCTCTTTCTCATCATTTCTCCGGCTAAAAAGGCCGTAAGAAACAGCGATTCCGACGAAAAGAAGGTGCAGAAGCTCCCAGGTTCTAGTGAGTAAAGTTTGATTAACAAACTCAGGGGCTTGGGAAGGGACTAGAGGGAGAATCACTAGAAAGAAAATCGCCATTAAAATTTTATACAAGATATGGCTATTGAACTTACTTGGAGTAGCCCGATCTTTCCTTGGCGGCAGATTTGGAGGTTTGGCGGGAACGTCCGATTCCGCCATTGAAGAAGGATTAAGAAAGAGGTTCTTGTTCTTGGCCGAAGTGGAGGGAAATGGAGTTGCAGAGAAGAGGAAAACGGATGAAGAAGGTGAATGTGAAGACTTAATGGCGAAGGAAAAAGTAGAGATAGAGAGAGAGAGAGAGTTGCAGAGGAGAGGAAAGGAGTTTGGAGAAGGAACAAAGAACAATTTGAAGCTTTGCTTTTCGAACAACTTTTTAACGGTTCCCGTCAATTGACCAATATACCCTTCTCTTTATCTTTTTATTTAACTCATAAATTAATAAAAACATCTTTAAACTAATAATTTCAGAAAACTTTAACAAAATAATAAGAATAATAATATTAAATTTTATTAATTTTAAAAAAACATTTAAAAATATGCAAGGAGGGTAAAATTGGAAATTAAAAATGGGGGACACAAATGGCAATAAGGAAAAAGAGGGTGTCAATGGGTTGCGTAGAAATGGTCGGGATTCTTCTTCTCCACTTACGCTAGTTTTTTTTTAAGGGAAGCTAAATATTTAAAAATAAATAAATAAATAGAATAATAACAATAACATTGTTAGTTGAACATGACTCTTTCAACCGTATTGATATGAACACGACCAACCAATTTCCATACCTCAAGGTCTAATTACAAGGACGAGAGCCAAAAAAACTACAACAAATCTTATACAGTTATGTTCAAGCTATGATGAGCTCATCAAAAGAAATTCTAGAAGACGTTGGAGACCTCCCTTATATGTTATGCAGAGTTGAGTTTTAAAAAAGAGATGAATTAAATGTACTTTGAGTTCCACGTTTTATTAATTGCATTATTTAATTATAGTTTAACTATTTGTTTGTCATATTTAAGCTAATTTTAAATATAGGAGTTAATGTTATATTGTAATCCACCAACCAAGGTTACTGTATTCTACCATTAACTAGCCATTTTAATACGGAGGTTATGAGTATTTCTTATTTACTAACCCATTTAATTTCGGAGTTATGTATCACATAGGTTAATGTTGTAAAGGCTATATAAAGCCTTCTTTAATTTGATTAGACATCAGATTTTGGAATTAAGAATATAATTTTTATTTTAGCTTTACAAATTCTTGTGTTTATAACTTACCTATTAGAGTTATTCAAGTGGTATTGATCAAACCTCTTGTAGAGTGATTTGAATCACAAGTTTAGAAACGAGTTTTCTTTACTCTTGATCATCAAGGTAATCCGTTCCATACTTTCCCTTGGGTTGATTTCCATATCACGTATGATATTGTCTACTTTGAGCATACGCTCTCGTAACTTTTCTTTAAGCATTCCAAAAAACCTCGTGTCAATTGAGAGAGTATTCTTTCATTAATAAACTCTTCCCTAAATTAGCTCTGAGACTTTCCGACCTAACTAAAATTTAATATATTATTATATTATTGTGTACTTTTTTAAATTTAAATTCTTAATATTTTATTATCTTTTCATATTACACAATAACGATTTTTTCTATTAGTCCAATTCAATATATTATGGGTTAATTAATTTTGACCAAAAATAAAATAAGGTTAAAGATTCAATTTATTAGAATGCATTAAAAAAAATATAATTAATTAATTAATTTATTTATTTAATGGAGTGGAGAGGATTAGAATTAAAGATATAATCTATTAGACTTAGTTTGACTATTAAAACAAGTCAAACCGCTTAATTTGTAAAGAAAGTTAGGAAGTTGAATGGATGAACTGATAATAGTTTGGTCCGTTTGACAATAAGCCGATTGGTCAACAACATACTCATGTTGGATCGGGACAAAATACAAAAGAAAAGACTACAAGACATGAACAGTGGAATCAGAACATGATTGAATATATATAATTTTGAGTTTTTATATATATTATCGACCAACTCCGAACTGACTTTTCGATTTTTCATATTAGAATCTCTAATTTGTTTTTTTTTATCGATGATACCTTAAAATTTATTATTATCAGATATCTTCGAATAAAAAAGCAATAAATATTTTTTCAAATTATTTTGAAATTTACAAATAATACTGAATTAAAAAAAAAATTCATATTAATAATAGCATATTAATTCTATCATTAATTATCAAAGAAATCCAAATCCATCGAAATAATTTAATTATTAATATTGTGAATATTCAAAGTTGAAAATTCAACCTTTTAAAGTGACGGCCTGTGAGTTATTGTTCCTGAATGCAAAACAATCTTCAAACACGTGGTCGTATTTCAATGAGCTGCCACGCAATATTTCTGACCGTCCGTAACTTTAACATTACCATTCTGAACCGATTCGTCGATTCTTCTTACAGCATTTGCCGGAGTTCTTCTCTCTCTACCTTTCTCTCTCATCAATCGGTTTCAAACAATGTTAAGCAAATGGTTGGCGTAGAATCCAATCCATGGTAGCCTGTCAATCTTCAACCAAAATCTAGGGTTTGTTTTTCGAAGTATTTCGTCGATTTTTCCCAATTTTGTTCTTCCCCTAATCGATCGTCATTCGTGTTGACCAATCGCAGCTTCCATCGAGATATCATTTTCCGGCTGCCGGTGGGTGGGGACTTCTGTGAGAATTTCATTTTTCTGTATTTCTCTGTGGAGATCTTCTCCGATTATTCCATTTCTGGGATTTGGTTTAGGAATGAATGTTAGGTTTTCGCGATGGGGGAGGCTAATTGTTTGTGTATAATCATGCGTTTTGGTTGAAAATTTGGGGCAAACGCGTGTAAATTGCTGGTTTGTTTATGTGTTTGAGATATTATTCGATTTTATTGTAATTGATTTTAGGGGCTTTTTATTTGAGGCTATGTATATTGAGAAATTGAAGGAAGAGGAGTTGCAGAGTGGGGAAGAGGGGAATTCAGGTATTATCGTTAGTAATTTGGAGAGCCAAAGCATTGTTAGGTCTGATGTGAAAAGGATCGTTGTTGGAGTTGGGGCTCGTGTTCTTTTCTACCCAACTTTGCTTTACAATGTTTTCAGAAATAAGCTTCAGACGGAGTTTCGATGGTGGGACAAGGTTGATGAGGTATATAGCTTTGATCTTGACAGTTCTTCCTAACCCAGATGACAAAAGAATGCATAATTATCAGAGTGCAAGTAATATGCGTTGAAAATGCCATTTGTTTCTTCAGTTCATATTGTTAGGTGCTGTTCCATTCCCTGCGGATGTTCCCTGTTTGAAGGAGGTTGGCGTTCGAGGAGTGATAACACTAAATGAGCCATATGAGACCTTGGTTCCTTCGACTCTATATCGTGTAAGTGTTGTTTTAATTTGCTTGTTCTGTACTGAATTCATTCTGTTTGATTCTTTGGAGTTGTGTTAAGTGGAGCTATGAAAGTGCTGCTTCAAACTAATTTGGGATCCTATTTGTTTGTATATAAGCATATTTATGTTCGCATTAACTTGGTGCTAATGGCTCAAGCCCACCACTAGCCGACATTGTCATCTTTGAGCTTTCTCTTTCGGGATTCCCCTGAAGGTTTGTAAAACGCGTCTGCTAGGGAGAGGTTTCCACACCCTTATAAAGAATGCTTATAAGAAGGCGTTTGAGAGACTTCCAATGCTGTTTTCGTACTACCTATAGGATTGCCATTATCATCCTTTCATAGTGAGTTATGGTTTTCTGTACACTTCTTTCCATGTTTGAATTTGGTCTATTTTGGAAAATTGAAGTGCAAGTATCATCTGATATGAGGTTGTTTCAGCTGACATTTAATGACCTGTTACTGTTTCTTGACTTGACTATTGTAGGTTTTCTCCCTTACCTACTTGTGCCTTTAAATTGATTTGAGAATGATTTTTGCGCTTTTACCATTGCAGGAACATGGAATTGATCATCTGACCATTCCGACTAGAGACTATTGCTTTGCACCTTTATTGAGTGACATTTGTGTTGCTGTAAATTTCATCCACAGTACGTATGTTCTGCTAAATTCTTTCTGCTTCCATCCTCAGGTTGCTTATTCCATTTTATTGCTTAATGAAAAGTTAGTAACGGCCAAGCCCACTGCTAATAGATATTGTCTTTTTTGGCTTTCCATTTCGGGATTTCCCCCAAGGTTTTTAAAACGAGTCTGCTAGGGAGAGGTTTCCACACCCTTATAAATAATGTTTTGTTCTCCCTCTCCAACTGATGTGGGATCTCACAATCCACCCCCTTTGGGGCTCAATGTCCTTGTTGGCACTCGTTCCTCTCTCCAATCGATGTAGGATCTCACAATCCACTTCCCTTTGGGATCCAGCATCCTTGCAGGTACACCACCCGGTGTTCAGCTTTGATATCATTTGTAATAGCCTAAGCCCTCCGCTAGCAGATATTGTCTTCTTTGGGCTTTCCCTTTCAGGTTTTCTCTCAAAGTTTTTAAAACGCGTTTGCTAGGGAGAGGTTTCCCCACCCTTATAAAGAATGTTTCGTTCCCCTCTCCAACAAATGTGGGATCTCATAAAAGTAGTCTATGTTCATTAAATGATAATATGTGCAACCTTCAAGTTTATGGTGTCAAATAAACTTTTCCTTGATGAATAATTTCATTTTTTTTTTATCATATGCTGCTATCAAAGAAAATGCATCACATGGACAGACTACTTATGTTCATTGTAAAGCTGGACGCGGGCGTAGCACAACCATTGTTATTTGCTATTTGGTAAGTCTTTGTATGCAAATAAAATAACCTTTATTCTTAAATTTAAAATCAAGAAGCCTTCGCTTTTCTGAGACTTTATGGTGGTGTACAGGTGCAATACAAGCAAATGACGCCAGAAGAAGCTTATAAACATGTGAAGTCAATCAGGCCAAGGGTGCTTTTAGCACCATCACAGTGGCAGGTATTACTGCAATCCTATTTGCCTTCTTCCTTTCTCTTCCTTCTCTTTAGTTCGAAATATTACATTGTTTATATGAAAGAATTACATTCCACGTTTTGAGCTCATCTCATTGTTTCTACGGTTTGATTTCAAATACATTGATGTTATATGCTATTCATTTATTGCCCCTTTCTACCTTATAGCTTTTTACCTTTCTGGGACTTTTCATTATGATGAATTCTGCGTTTTAAGTAGTGAACTTGGTTTTCATCCTGGTTTGGACTCGATGACAATTCTTAGTACATGCACGTTGATTGATGGTTTCTATTCGCAGGCTGTCCTGGAATTCTACCGCCTGATTGTGCAGAAGGATGCTTCCTTCTGCCACATAGATGATTTTGGAAAGAAAGTATCAGAATCAGCGCATGATCTCATTGCATTTGACGATAGTTCTGTAGTTGTTGTAAAAGAATCCGATCTTGATGGATATGACGAAAGTAGCAGCCAAAGTGAAATGGGTGATATCTGGGCAGATTTAAGTGTAGTCTGCAGGGTTCGTGTTGCTGGTCAGGCAGCCCTCACAAGATTCTCTTGTTTGTTGCTCAGCTATCGAGCAAAACACCATAGCCAGGAGATTAAAGGAGATGATCCAGGCGTCACGAAGGGCTGTTCACTCAGTGCTACTCATTTGGAAGGGTTCAGTGTGGACATTCATGTCTATTAAACCAACTCAGAGGTCACAACTTTTCTGAACTCGCCCCATATGTATATATATATATATATGATAAAATATAGCTAAATATGTACCAGGCAGAATTGAAATTGTTAATATATTCCTGTAAGTGAGATTGTACTGTCCAATATGTTCTCATTCTGAATGCATTAATGCATTTCTCATGTTTCATACATCGACTTTTTTCATTGAACATCGACTCGTCTCTTGGAATACATAGGGTATCTACTTTTATTTTTTCCTTAACTTTCTGGAAAATAGGCTTGCATAGTTGATGAGGATTTAAGGAACTTTGTTTTGTGATCTTACTCTTTTCTTTACTGGTGCTTTGCTCTTGTTTAATCAATACTATGGTGCTCGTTGACTTTCCGAGATCTGTCCGAGTCTTTATCCTTGTAAGTATGGAATCACATACTTTCTCATGTCACTATTGGAAATTTTAATATGTTCCCCATCCACTCTTATGTATTTCACTCTTCCAGCTTCATCCAAGGTTTTCAGACCAATCCAGTCTTCAATGTAGAGTTTTGTCTGCAGAAATCAAGCAGAAGTGATCATATTGTCGTAAGTACTAGTTATGTTGGATGTTTTTGATGTCATTAATTCAATTTATTTCAATGTATGTTGATACCTGTTGTGGAGGTATAGTTGAATTAAAAGCTCCATCCGGGTACTGACCGAACCAGGAGGTTTCCTTAGGGACCAAAATAGCGTCCTGCTCGAACTGGACGACAAAAAATGATAGCATAGGAGGAGTTTTTGATTAGCTGTTTTTTCATATGGCTATAAGAAATAGAGCTTCAAGATGTCTTTGACATGAAAGTAAAGCCCCTTTCAAACCTACCATAATTAGCACCAAGTTTTGTAGGCTACTGAATCTTTCCTTGTATGTTGAATTCCTCGCTTGTGGGCGTTCGTTGTTGAGCTTTGGAAGAAACTTACATTTCTCCAAATACTTCGGGATAGCCTGAAAGTAAAAGCTAACACGAGCAAGTCAATTTAAGCTTCGTTTTTGTGATGTGAAACAATGTCTGTGAAAACGTGAAGGTTTGTGGTCGGGACGATCAAATGAAGAAAACGAAACTAGCTATAGGAATAGTGCTCACGTTTGGTAATTTGAGATAACCACTGGGAGCTAGATGATCCTGTGACAGTAAACAGAGAAGGAAACAGCCATATATGAATGTCATGGCATGTCTAAAATGGAAAAACAAAGCCGTAACTCCCAGGCCCATCGCTAGCAGATATTGTCCTCTTTAGACTTTCCCTTAAGGTTTTTGAACGTGTCTGCTAGGGAGAGGTTTCCACACCTTTATAAAAAGTGTTTTGTTCTCCTCTCCAACCGACGTAAGATCTCACAAAAGCTATAGGTGGGTAGAGTTATACTTGAACGTAGTCGCTGTAGATGTCTGACTTAATGAGTTTATCTACAAGGTGACATAAAATGGCCGTCTGCAGAAACCGAAATTCATTTCAATAAGAACCTTCCTACTTATTATTTGACTTCCTCAAAACAAAAATCCAGAAACTGAAGATGAAAGGATAATTCAAAACTTACACCACAAAGAGGAACAGAAGCAATACCTGCATGAGGACCTCCTAGAGATACAAAGTTCTTAACCTTTAGATGCAGAGTAAGGCAAGAACATGAACAGTGAGGAAATATATAGACATAAACAGAATTCTCAAACAAAATCTAAAGACTAGAAAAGATCTTAAACAGTTTCTCACTGGTGGTCCTCCGTCACATAACTCGATCACTCCTCGGCCGACCAAGTTACCCTGTTCAGCCAAACGAAATTATGCTTAACAATCTTTTCCATGCTTGCTTGACTTTCCGCTTTCATTGTACCGAAAAAGGTTTCATTCTAATGGAGATATTGGTACATAATGAAGCGTTTGTCAAGGCAACACTGGATTCACGTCTTTAAAGACGTGAATCTCCGATAATCACCTGGGAGAGACCGACTATATTGTAACCTTTTTTCAACTCCTCCATTTCCGTCACCTGCATTTGTCATACCAAATCAGTCAAACATCTTTAGAGATGAGGTAGATAAAGGAGCCATGAGGACTTTCGCACCTTGTCACAAATAAGTCCAGCCTGAACGTAGAAGAAAACTTCCGTTAGAATGAGAACTATTGAAGAATTACGACGCGTAAAACAAAATCATAATTCGGGTTGGGTATACCACATATAATCTATAATAGGGAGACCCCGGGTTAAGTTTCGATAAGGTCTTACCTGTTTCTCGAGGGGCATAAACCAAGAATCCCACACTCCATTGCCAACTTCACTGGTAGAATTAGCAATTGAAAGTCATTATCAAAAAGTAGCAATAAATCTTAAGATTTACACGAAAAACCAGCAGGAAAAATGGAAAGATGGGTGCTGTATGAACATACAGGCAATATCCTTCAACACCAGAATAGTTGATCAGTAGTTGTGTGAAGTTTTTAGGCCCTTGATGTGAGCACTGGCCTCCTAAACCTGCCATGATGAAAAAAATGAAGGAATTCCTGAGCATTTATGAGATATTATTTTCTCTCGTATGCAGGAACAATGGAGCTATCGGTATGATTAGAGATGTCCATTTAATCTGCGCAAAATTTCGGTTGACATAGAGAACGGAGTAGAGAGCAGAGAGAGTTTTCTTTCTGTTGGCTAAATGGGAACGGGTACGAGGTTGATTATTTATTTATTGTTTCCCAATTCAATGTTTATAGCTAGATTCATTATATGATAAGAGTTGCTTGGATTTTACTACTCGAAAATTAGATTTATTGTAGAAAATGTCTCACTCGACCCATCTCAATCTATCAACACTCGTACTCTGTCTATATTGTATAACTAAGCCAAAGAAAAGAACAATACACAATGATCAAGAAACTTACAAGAACATGGATATCGTTCCACAAACCGATGCATATCCATGGAAGCTCCCCTTGTCGAGAAGGCAATCCACAACTTAACTAAACCAAAAACTATCCCCGAATGCCCCACTAAACTTTAGGAACAACAAATCTTCATAAAGATATGATAGTATCCACTTTGAACATAAATCCTAAGACCTCATTCTAGTGAAGATAATGTCCTCTTACTTACGTACCCACGATCTTTCTTTAATTAGAACTTCAACCATCCTGGGCTAGAACAAGGTCTCAGTGAGCCTGTGAATCTGTCTTAAATGTTCATACAGTCATAAGTTAGACATGACTCTGATACCACTTGTTAGGGACAATGAAATGTATAACTTTGATACCACAGTGGTATGATATTGTCCACTTGAGCATAAACCCTCGTAACTTTCTTTTCGGTTCTCCAAAAACGCCTCTCCTTACTTATATACCCATGATCCTCCCCTTACTTAGCCAATATGTGAGTCCAACGATCCTCCCCAACATAGATAGATTCACCACAAACAATCGAGAAACGAAGAATCAAACAAGAAGTCGAGTTAAAAACAAAGAGAGGGATAGTAGATTAGATGTTACCATGGAGCACAATGAAGGGCAATGAAAGAGAACCCGGAATCGCAGCGAAAACGAGAGCCAAAGAGAAAAAGGGCATTAAAGAGGGAGCAGCCATGGGGAAGAAGAAGCTGAGAAAACACAGAGAGCTTGAGATAGCAACAATGGCGTATGAAAAGGGAAGATGGTGACTCGCATTTAGTGGGTTATGGGTGATATGTTAAAAAGGTGTGGCAGGCGGTGCGGCCATTTATTGGGTGCTAGTGGCAATGACATTGGCATTGTGACAAGTTTTTCTAATATTAGATTAGACACTTAGCCTATACAATAATGTTTCATTCAAAGGTTCTTCCAACGATCGATTGTATTTGTTACCAAATGCATGCTGACCTCATTTTAAAACGAGAAAGTGAAAACATGTAACCTACGTTGGTCAGAGAGGGGAACGAAGAATTTCTTTTAAGGGTGTGAAAATTTCTCGTTTTAAAATTGTGAGGCTGACGGTTACGTGTAACTGTAATGGAATAAAGCGGACAATATCTACTAACATAGATAATGTGAGAATACTCACCACTATACCGTAACGATTTTACGAGACGATTCAGTCAGGGATCGAACCCGGGTCACCTGCATGATAGGCGGGAATACTCACCACTATACTACAACGACCATGCCTCTAGCATATGCAACAATTTTTACGAGAGGAGCCAAGCCAACACAGCCTCTAGCTACGTGCAACGATTTTGTGGATTGAGTCAAGCCGCTTGGCTTTTATTGTTAGATTAGACGATACTTAACCATCTTCGAGTCAAGCTATAGCGACAACCAAACTACTGACATCGAACAAACCGCAAAACAAGTAAGAATAGCTAATTTTCTTCCCTCGAATTCTCCGAATTATGCCCTAATAAAAGTATGGTTTAACCCAAGTCGACCAAAATGGGTCAAACTAGTCCAATTGAACCTGTCGAACTGGTTTCCTTGAACCGGTTCGTCTACGTCTAAACGCGTGTGCCTTCGGTGAGCGGATTCACATGAAATCCCTTTGGAATAGATTTATGGAACTCAAATAACAGTTCTTTTTGCTTATTTATAATCAGCCATGTACAAAAAAGCACACCTAATTGTGCTAATAACATGATGATATATACTGCTAAATCAGCTATGAACAGGTTGTGTTCCCTTCAGTTCCCAGCACAGTTTAGATCCTCCCCGTCGACGATATTGTAATAAAGTGACGAAAGTTTACCATCGAACTTCGAGACGAGTTGATGAACGTTCAAGCCACAATAATATTTATCGAGTCGAGCGATGCAAATGTCGATGATCTTCTTAAACATCACATCTTCTTTTACATGGGATTGCTCCACAAATTCAGCTAAAGGCATCCACTGAATTACCACAAATTCAGCTTTCAATGTAGAACAGCATAGGATTGATTATTCTTTGAGTTTAGAAAATTTACCTTTGCTGCTTGAATTTCGAAATCGTCGGCGATTATCTGGGTCGATAAGGGTCTAAGCATGCAGACGAAGAACAAATCAGACTTCTCGAACGCTATGTTGTGAGCATGCCTGGATTAATGGAGGAGAACGATGTTAGATCTCGTTGACTCGGTTTCGACAAGATGAAATGAAGAAAGTCACATGGTTTTACCTGAAAGCTATTACTTCAACAAATTCAGTGTCAATCTGCAAAACAGAGCAAAGAGAATCTATTAGGACATAGAAACTTGATCTGCTATAGTAAATAGTAACATAAAGCTTATCTCTCGAGCCTCCTAGAGGAATGGCTAAGTTAAGTTAAGTGTAACAGCCCAAGCCTACCGCTACTAGATATTGTCCGCTTTGGCTCGTTACGTATCGTCGTCAGTCTCACGGTTTTAAAACGCGTCTGCCTAGGGAGAGGCTTCCACACCCTTATAAGAAATGATTCGTTCTCCAACCGATGTGGGATCTCACAATCCACCTCCTTTGGGGGCTCACCACCCGGTATTTGGCTTTGATAGCATTTGTAATAACCCAAGCCCACCGCTAATAGATATTGTCCGCTTTACCTCATTACGTATCACCGCTAGCATCACGATTTTAAAACGCGTCTACTAGGGAGAGGTTTTCACACCCTTATAAGAAATGCTTCGTTCTCCTCTCCAACCGATATGGGATCTCACAATCCACCCCTCCCGGAGGGCCCAACGTACTCGGCACACCGCCCGGTGTTTGGCTCTGATACCATTTGTAACAGTCAAAGCCCACCACTAGTAGAAATTGTCCACTTTGGCTCGTTACGTACCACCGTCACGGTTTTAAAACGCGTCTGCTAAGCAAAGGCTTCCACACCCTTTTAAGAAATGTTTCGTTCTCCTCTCCAACCGATGTGGGATCTGCTAAGCAAAGGCTTCCACACCCTTTTAAGAAATGTTTCGTTCTCCTCTCCAACCGATGTGGGATCTCACAATCCACTCCCCTTGGGGGCCCAACGTCCTCGCTGGCATACCACTCAGTGTTTGGCTCTGATACCATTTGTAACAGTCAAAGCCGGCCCAACGTCCTCGCTGGCATACCACTCAGTGTTTGGCTCTGATACCATTTGTAACAGTCAAAGCCCACCGCTAGTAGAAATTGTCCACTTTGGCTCGTTACGTACCACCGTCACGGTTTTAAAACGCGTCTGCTAAGCAAAGGCTTCCACACCCTTTTAAGAAATGTTTCGTTCTCCTCTCCAACCGATGTGGGATCTGCTAAGCAAAGGCTTCCACACCCTTTTAAGAAATGTTTCGTTCTCCTCTCCAACCGATGTGGGATCTCACAATCCACTCCCCTTGGGGGCCCAACGTCCTCGCTGGCATACCACTCAGTGTTTGGCTCTGATACCATTTGTAACAGTCAAAGCCGGCCCAACGTCCTCGCTGGCATACCACTCAGTGTTTGGCTCTGATACCATTTGTAACAGTCAAAGCCCACCGCTAGTAGAAATTGTCCACTTTGGCTCGTTACGTACCACCGTCACGGTTTTAAAACGCGTCTGCTAAGCAAAGGCTTCCACACCCTTTTAAGAAATGTTTCGTTCTCCTCTCCAACCGATGTGGGATCTCACAATCCACTCCCCTTGGGGGCCCAACGTCCTCGCTGGCATACCACTCAGTGTTTGGCTCTGATACCATTTGTAACAGTCAAAGCCTACCGCTAGTAGATATTTTCCACTTTGGCTCGTTACGTACCACTATCAGTCTCACAGTTTTAAAACGTTTGCTAAGGAGAAGTTTCTACACCCTTATAAGAAATGTTTCGTTTTCCTCCCCAACCGACGTGGGATCTCGATCGATGATCTCTAAAGTTTAGATTCTTTGTTGGAATTTGCATTCATGATGAAAGGTTTGACAGAAAATACTTACACCAGTTTCCTCCTTAACTTCTCTAGCAACTCCTGTATAGATCTCTTCCTTCTGATAAACACGAAAAAGTTTCAAAAGAGTTAATAAAAAGAATCTCGAAATCTAACACGTACAATCGGGATGATGAACCGAGCGGAAAGCCACGTACCTCAACGATGAAACCGGTTGGTATCTTCCAAAAATTAGCGAATTGTGGAGAACAGTATTTTTCTTGCACTACCAGGACCTGTTGCCAATGACCAGCTAATTATAGTTTAGATATGTTTATGTCGAAAATAATTGTTGTGTGATCGGCTAGAATTTGTCGTAAACGACGAGTCGAGAAAATAGAACAACCTTATGCTATAGAGATCTAAGGCTTGTGATATACCTCGTTTTTGTCATTGATGACGAATCCTCCGACCCCGACGTGATGCGAAGCATTTGCAGGAAGCATGCAGGGTCCGTCGGGTATCCAATAAGTTAACATCAAGTAACCCGGCTCAGCGTGATGGTATTGAAATCCTGCCTGTGATCCAAATAATCAGTCCAAGAGGAACATGCTAAGCAAACATATAAACATTCTCCTCGCTTCGAGCGAATCGGAGTCTATTAAAATGAAATAACAATAGGATTCACTGAAGTCCGAGTAGAGTACATAAGGGTAAGCTATTAATCGGGTTTAGATACGAACATTACCTTTATGGCAATCGGAACAAGCTCGGACTGTTCGACTAGCAACTTAAGCCAAACTCCCTTCTTTCCCTGCAGCAGAAGAGATTCTCAGTATAGTATCCTCACTGAATATGTAGTAGTTTATGCCTCTATTGCACCTGAAATATGGAACTACATTGAATTGGACAAGAAAACCAAG